ATGAATACATCTCATAATTCGTTGACATACTAAACACCAACAACCGACAACTAATAATAAATGTGAATAATAATGCGAAATATACATTCATTAGGGCGAACGCATACGAAAAGTCTCTCCACAACCGAAGAAGCAGCAGTAGCAGCAGCAGCAATAAGGGCGACCACACTACAGAATATTGCGGAGAAGTAAGAGACGCAATGAAAGGACAAGAAACATATTGAATGGCATTCCAGTGAATAACTTAAAGATTCAGCAGAAAAGGCGAATCGATAGAGAGTGAGTGGAAGAGAGAGAGAGAGAGAAATAGAGAGAGAATAGTATGCGGCAACAGTGGCGACAACAGCAGCAGTAGCAGCAGTAGCAGAACGCGCGAGGGCTGATAAAATGCGAACGGGACGATAGAGAAAGACGAAAAGCAAGGGAAAAACCGAGAACCAACATTCGTTTGGAAAGTGTATCAAATGCTACTTGAAATTCAAGTATCTCTTTTCGTGCGGTTCGTTTTTATTTTCCATTCCTTTCATTTTTGTGGTTTACGTTTGAATTGTTTTTCTAGTATTTGTGTATTTCTTTTCTCTCTTTCTTTTTCACCCTCGCTGCCGTTGCTGTCGCCGCCTCTTATCGTCTCCCATTCTGTTGTTGACTTGCCGTTGCAGGAAAACACAGTCAATTTTCTCGGGTTTTTTAACAAACAATTCTGTCGAATGAACCCCAACTCCCATCCCTCCCTCTCTCTCTCTCTCTCTCTCTCTCTCTCTCTCTCTCTCTATCTCTCCCGGTAACCTGAGGAATGCATTTTCGATGGGAACAATTGCAGAAAAATACCAAACTGGTTTGAAGTTGTTCCGCGAGTGAAAAGGAGAGAGGGATAGAAAAAAAAATGTCAATATGCGCACACAAGTTTCGGCAACCGAACTACCGAAAACAAACACTTAAATAGCATAACGATACATTTTCGCTGCCCATTTATTCTCTATTTTGTGTGGCATGCAATCGCAATTGTGCATTGGATTACACTTAGAATAACAGCAGTTGTAGTAGCAGCACAACAAACACGAACCAACAAGAACAGCAGAAAAAAAGATCAACATTCTACATTTCATGTAGTGCTAAAAAGGACAAACGAATGAACGAACAGAAAAAATGCCACCGACGTAACGTAATTGCGAGGTTAATATTTTAAAGCGACTCTAATTTCAGCTTTAATTTTCAATCGAAATGATATAATAATGTGTAATTATGCTAAAAGCGCACACGGCCATCGCCAACACATACGCCACAAACACACGCTACACACATACATTTACTGCGCTGCTCACAAATTGAGTTGAAAATGCGATATAAACTGAAATGGTAGCATTCAAAAAGTTAGCACTTGCCAATTCGAATTAACAGCTACGGAGAGAATGCGAATCATCAGAGTGTGGCGATATTTTGTTGGCAATTTGATATTTTATTGTGTTTCATATACACGATATAGTTTTGGCATTTGTTCACGAAGCGATAAGAGTATGCTGATGTGTATCCGCATTCGTACATCGAATTCTATCCACCCCAAAGACATCCGATCCATTGACACACATTATACACCACATACAGACACACATAACAGATTGACTCTTTTGTAACATTTGTAAATTATCTTTTCCACATTCGTTAAACAAAAACCACTTATTCGAAAGCCACGACTAAATGTTTAGTTATTTTTTTGTTGTTGCTATTTGTTATTTCCCTCAAATGTCATTCAAGCTTCGTTCAATACAAAAACAACAAACTGTACATTGATTTTACTTTGATTTGAATTACATACACTCACACTCGCACATACCGCAAAATAAAAGAAGAGGCGAAATGAAATCCAATTATTCTTCTCAAATATTAGATATAATGCCATGGGGTTTCATTTAGTTTCGCTCCATCATATTTAAATTCAATTGGACGTTGAAATGTGTATCAGGGTCGTTTTCGTTATTTGGTATTTAAATGTCATCCATATATACATATACATTCGAAAATGTATATTATACCGACGACGACGACGTCGACCACCGTTCACCAACACCACCCGTATGTATATGATGTTCGATTTGCAAATAGCGGATGGCAAGCATGCCATTAAAATGGTGGCTATCGTCAGAATTGTCGTTGTCGTCGACGGAACGGCAAATGGATTGTACCGTCAATGAATCGAAACATTGCGGGCGAAGTTGACACAACTTAATTCTTGTTTGAAACATTATTGGCCGCGTGTTAATTACGTTTCTTTTGAGTAAGTGGAAAGTTGCTCGTTAACCATTGTAATTTAATATACAAGGACGACGCATCTTCTGCGAGATAGAGAGAGATATTGTGTGTTATTTTGCACAAACTACCGGCTACGTGCCGAAAAATGAACTGGCACGAACAAAAACACATCCAAACATACACACTCAACGCCCGACTCCACTGTATTCATTTTCACTGTGTATAGAAATTTAATCACTTCGTTGTGACTATAAATCGTAGGGAGTCTGATTGGACGAGGCATAATTTAGTCATTTGTTAACATACACACACTTACCGAGTATCGCATACATAGCAAAAGCCGAACAAATCACAGCTACGAATGCCCTTCGTTTGAGGAAGACAGAGAGAGAGAGAGAGAGAATGATAAAGAGAAAGGGAAAGCGAGAAACAGGTCTTATTGGCATACTTTTTTTTCTTCTTCTCGCTTCTGCCTTGCCCCAATACTAATTCCAATTTGGCACTTTTCGATTTTTCGACAGCGCACAAAAGCATCTGCAATTCGGTGAATTGGTCAGACGGCATATAAATTACACAAGGATTCGTTTATGTTTTTTTTTCTCCTTTCTTCTGTTCACTGCTCCAAATTTATCGTTTAGGTTTTTCGCCTGAAATGTGAATCTCTTCGCAAGTTAAGTGTATTGCTTATAATAGACACGTATTTTGATGATTCGAAGCTTCACTTCCAATTCGAAGAGGTCAATCGAAAATAAACCGTTTTCATTTGTGCACAGCAAAGTTTTCGCTTTCTCTCTTTTTCCCATTGTTCTCACTCTTTAAATCAAAATCTCGCCTATTGTTTTCAAGTGTTTCTGCATTTTAAGTTTGGATGAATAATCAAATTCAAAAGTTCTTGTTGTGTCTCGAACGGAGAATAAAAGCAACCATTAGTAATCATCATAGGATTGGAATTGCCGACGAAGAAATAACAATATGAAGCTCTTTAATTGCAATTGCAAAGCGATTGTTTGATCAAAATGCTTGGAAATGGTTGATCGGATAGTTGAGCTTGTACATATTTTCGAAACAAATTAGCAAAATAAATTAATTAAACTACTTTGAGGTGGGTAACGTAAGCATACGGATTGCTCCGAATGGGCAACATGGTAACGAACAAAAACGACAATGATGATGATGACGATGACGACGACGACGACGACGACGACGACGACGATAAAACGTATGAGAATGCGTTTATTGATGCCCGAGCGCTTGGGCTTGAATAAAACTTCTCTGGTTTTATCCCGTTCCATGTGTGTGTGTGTCAGCCTCTCTGATCCTCTGTACAAATAGATAGAAAACGTCAAACAAGAACAATAAAGCGGCACCTGGCGAATGGTTGGAGAAATAGAGAATCATGCACATAGTTTGCTGTAACAAGTATGCGTCTGTGTTAGTTGAAACGTTGAAAGTATGACACATTGCACTTAGTTCCCAGGTGCCGCTGTATTGTTTACTATTTTCATGATCAGAAAGGCTGGTGTGTGTGTGCGTTTGTGTAAATGTGTACGCTGTCGTTGATGCGAAGAGAAATGGAAGCGAGTGAATCCACTTTAATCAATTTATAAGTTTTTCAAGTGGTTTCGGTTATGGTGTACTTTTGAATTACGTCATGTTCACATCCTCTAAAACAGCTAAATACTGAACTGATAAATACTGATTTAAGCTTGATTTTTATTTATTTACCTCGGGGCAGCGAGAAGCAAGACATCAATAATTCACACACCAATAACCGTTCGACTGTTTGCATTTCTCACATGTGCGCGCCTCATATTCATGGCTGTGCCTCTGCTCTCCTTCTTTTCACTCGCTTCGTCTCACGCTCATTCTCTTATTTTCCCACTTACACACAGCCAACTGGCTGCTGTTTATGTTGTACAACACCGAAAGGTACTGGCATTTCGAGCAGTAATTATGTATAAATGTAGAAACGCAACCAAAGAGCATCCTCACTCTCAAGCGTTTGGCACGTATCATCCCAGAATGTTATGTGTTCGTACTCAATAAAAACTTTTCTGGTTAAATTAAATTTCGAAAATATTTTTGATTCCTGCAATGAAAACGATGGGGCCGAGTGGAAAGAGAGATATGGAGCGATGAAACAGCTGAGCAAAAGCGAATGCAGATGTAGAAAATGCTATTGTTAACATACACAACAAAACGATGTGCGCTAATGTGTTTATCTAATTTTCTATATTATTTCGAACCAAAAGTGGCGAAGATTAATATTTATGTTTTTCATTTATCAAGTTTGTTGATGACGATCGCTTTTCGGTGTATTTACATGTGTTATTTTCGCATTTTTCCCCCACTCTACCACCCACTCTCTTGTTGTATGTATTTTACTCTCTGATCATCCCCAAAAAATGTCCCAAATGGCAAATTTAATTATTCGCTCTAGTCTACGATAAAGTTACGCTCTCTTTCTCTCTTCCTCTTCGTTTGCATCCATTTCGCCTCTACTGATATTCTATTTTAATCAAGCCTTCGGATTAAATACTGAAAGTCTTTGAAAACAAGTGGAAAACAATGTTGTTCTCGTGGTATTCAATGTTGATGTTGATATTTAATGTTTAGATAAAGTAAATAAAAAAAAAACTTCCCTCCTTGCTCCCACCAGTAACAGAGCCGAAAAAAAAAATTAAAACCAACAACAACAGTCAAAAAAGGATGCGACTATGGAGTCACTTATTTAAATTTATGGTTTTACTTACCTTCGGATGTGCTTTCCTAGGAAATGCTACTTTTGGATCAATCTGAAAACGAGTGAAAAATTTATCTATGTTTTAAAAAAAATGCTTCATTCTTTGTACGAAGTATTACGGTATGTGAATGGTTTGTACGAATTATATGATAGGAAATGATGGAGAAAGAGGCGAAAAACAAGATATGAAGAAAACGAATAAGAAACCAAAGAAGCTGTGTGTGAGAGAAAAAGTGACGGTTTTGGTTTTTTAATTAAATCTCTTTATCGTGAGCACGCACACACAAATTTATCTATTCTTTGCGGAATGTGGGTCACTTGAACCATTTATTTTGAACTTTTTTCTCCAGCGACAATCGCATTTAGTGGGAACACTCTTTTTCTCCCCGTTCTCATCGTCACCGTATAAAAATACCGCAGCTGCAGCCGGCGATTGAGCAAACGAACCGAAACAAGGAAAATAGACAAAGAAACAGCAGCCGAAACGACAACAAAAAAATGCGACACTTGAACACATTCGTCATTTTGGCTCTGGCTACATGATAGCCATTTTTATAATCATCAAAAAGTAACATGAAATGATATCGGTCACTTTCTTTTCTTTTTTTTTCAAATTTAGCAGGTTGACTGCAGAAACGGACGGCGGCATGAGAAAAAATTCTACGAGAGATTTGTTTCTTTCAAAGTGAAAAAAAGACATTTTTTTCTCTGTTTGTAGCCAAGCTTAACGAAGGAATTTAAATTCAAATGCACATAACGTTCCAACATAAATTCTCGCATTTTTACATTTTGACCACAGTTTTATGCCGTTTACATTGAGCATGATGCCCACTAAAAAAACGCAACCATCACCGACATATTTATCAGCATTCGTTTTGGGGCGTGTGCTTAATTTTGTCGTTTACTACATCGGTTTGTCGGTTTTCAAAATGTCTGCCGTTCATTTTGGACAAGCCGTCTGATAATCGTAAGAATTATACGGGCCGTTTCTGACTAGGGGTTTCACGCAACTTAAAATTCATCTAAAATTTCAATATTTCTCTCTTTTCTCTCAAATTCTCTGGGATTCACCAAAATCCGTATTATTTCGAAATATTTCAACATTCACCTCGAAAATTATGTTCTGGAAGTGGGTGGATCCTCAGGATCGTTCAAAACTGCTCCCGGTTCTGGAAGTGGGTTTTGGTGGATCTTCAGGATGGATCAGACTGGGTTTGACAATGCCCTGGTCCATCCTGAGGATCCACTTCCAGAACCAGGAGCGGTTTTGAACAATCCTGAGGATCCACCAAAACCCACTTCCAGAATTTTTAGATTCAAAAAATTCTAAAAAATGCGAGTTTATGAATAAAAAGAAGCAATATCTATAGTTTACACATAAAATGGTTTTATTTCCAGCTATCTAGTAAAATCTTCGGCCTTCGAGTTTGCGTGAAACCCCTAGGTTTCTGACGCTCTCGCACATATCTCTTGTCTTGTCTCTTGCAATGCGTGAACATTTTTTTATTTTGACATTGGGTGTTATTCATCGTACGTGTGTTTATTGTCGTATAATTTTCCACTCAAAGTTGATAGCATTATGGCGATTTTCATACGAAAAGTGGGGGCAATGGCGCAATTTTTATTGGCTTTTTTCTGGAGGTGACGGGGGAGGTCGAAAGAAGAAAAAAATCGTAGTTGAACATTAATTTATTTGTATGAATCTCACGGTTGAATAATGAATATGGAAGAGAGATGGGAATTGAAATTTCGACGATGTGTATGCAGAGAAACAATGTAGATTTGATTAGCCGATATGGAATATGGCTTGTTTACATTTCTTAGGTGTATTATCTAATCGGTATAATCGGACATTAAGGCCATCATAGCTCGTATAATCGACAATATGTATGTGTGCATTATTCGGTAAACATTATTATCCATCTATGAAATGTCAATTAGATAAATAAGCAGTAGACTCATAAAGCTTATGAGGCTTTGAGCTCTTTACTCGGTTAAGGGAAACGGGAAAAAAACCGAAGAGAATCAAATCGATCCCAAAAATTGTCAATTAGAGAGAGAGAAGAAAAACACTGAACAGCGAAAAGGACGGACCGAGTACAAAATTAAATTCGTTCGCATTAAACATTAACATCTTTTTGGAGTCGATGGCACACACAGAAAAGAGGCCAGAACAAAGCCTAACTTCTTTAACATTAATTCAAGCGTGTTGGGTACTGTGTTTTTTCATTCCTTCAACTGAAGTCAAACGCGGAAAATCTTTGTGAAAGCGTACAAAAACGGCATTAACTAAAGTAGATGCACACAAATCTCAATTTTTCTTTTGATCTCCCAGGACATACGTACACACGAGAGGAGGAACACGAGCAGACGAAAAAAAAACGCAAGCGACGAGCAGAAGTTGACGTTTTTCTTTGTTGCCATTTGCTCTTTTCGAAATTATAAAACCCTTTATGTTCTCTTTTCTTCTAAATTTAATACGTACTTTTCATTCCAAGAACGGGAACCGAAGAAAAAAAATTGTACATATAAAAATATCCAGCCGATGTGAGACTGAACGAGAAAAACGACGACGACAACGAAGAAAGAAAACAACAGAAAAAAAAAACAGAATTGCGAAGGGGACGATGACGGCAAGCAGCATTGTGTAATTTGCCACTTTAGCATTATTGTTTTGCCGTGGCAATTTGGATAGCTTGCTTCGATGGCTTGCTTTTTCTCTCTCTTTCGATGCCTTCTTCAGCCTTCTGGGGCTGGATCGTTTGATTGGCTATTTCATTGACAAATACACATCAGTCTTGTTGCAGTCTTTTCACTGTTCAAATGCTCAATGGTGAATGTCAACAATGCGCACAGTTCATATTGGTTCATATTTATTTAGCATCTTATGCAAGCGCAATCAAAATAAAGCAAAACTTTTTACATACATGAGGCAACGCAGCACGCTCACTAGTGAGCGCGCGTTCGCTCGTTCAGCCATTGTCGAAAAAGGGAAAAGAGAGTATGAGAAACGATTGAAATGCCCTCCGAAAAAAAAAACTCAACAACAACTATTGCACAGAATAAAAAAACCGAGCGAATGAAATAAAAACCAAATCGAAATTCAAATGAGTATGGAGTGAAAATGTTATAAAGATTTCCACCAAAGTGAATTTTATTTATTGTTTTATGGTCTCAGCTGTTTTATTTATATATGTTTTTTCTGCTCTCCTTCACTGTTTCTGGTGTTGTATTGTGTTGTATTTTATTACGTTTGCCATTTCACCCACTCTTGCACGCTCCAAGGATGTGCAGAAATATTTTGAATGAAAATAGCATCAAAACGGAATGAATGTTTATTGCATGGGATTAAGAAAGCAAATTAAAACTATCGTATTCCACAAAGCGGTGCTTATCCCTGGCAATCCATCCACTGTATATGCGTACGCTTGTTCACTCCAATGTATCCGTATTATGTGTATACAGCGGGTATTTTGGAATTGATTTAATTCGTCGTAATGCGAGATTGTTTCCAATAATTCTAATTATTCGAATTTTTGTGCTGCACAAAGCGCAAACAGAGGATGGGAAGCGATGGGCAGATATGCTGGTGCTTGAGAATCCAAGCCCTGCGCCATCATCATTCGATTACTCACACAATTCCTTCGATTTGGGATATCGATGGCATTCGGCTTTTATCTTCACCCTATATATATATGTGTGTGTATATATATATGTATGGGGACGAGGTCCCGTCGTCTATGCTTTTTAAAATGCTTTTGGTTTTCTTTTCTTTTCTCCATTCGGTCTATTGTTGTCTTGATGCGATTGTGTGTGTACTGGCTGGATTCTTTTTTTATATTCATTCTTCACTTGTTATTATTTACAAAGATATACATAAATGGACATGAATGTAATTCGTATGTTTTTATTTTTTTTCGCTTGTTGTTGTTGTTGTTGTTGTTGATGTGAGCATGTGTATGAGTGTATACTAACCTTTTTTCCATCTAATTCATGGGTGCCTTGTGCTAATACTTTGTCTACACTAGATGGGTCACCGAATGTAATAAATCCAAAGCCTCTGCAAATAAATAAAGCAAAGAGAAAATAGAAGAAAGAATTGGTTGGTCGGTTTTCGGTATTTTCGTTTTTTTTTGAGTGTGTGTATATGTATATTTGTGTGAGTGAATTTCTGTTTTTTTTTCTGGTATTTTTGTTTATTGTTTTGTTGTTGCTTTTAAAAAAATAAAAATCTAATCAAAATTAAAATCACATGGTGACGAGAGATGGTGACGAGACATAAAGATAGATCGGTAGAGTGGAGAGCGTAAAAATAAAACAGTTGAAGTGAGTAAGTGGAAAAAAGGAAGACAAAGAACGATTCGAAACGAAATGAACGAAAAAAAAACCCGTAACAAATCGTAATTTCAGTAAAGTACTGGATTCAATAGCTGGTATCCGAGTGTTAAGGAGACAAACAAATACATAAAATAGAAATAAATCGAATGAAAATATGCAAATCAGCAAACATATTGGAAAAACGAACAGATGGAAAGAGATATATATAAGAAGAAAAGGAAAAGCAAACGAAACGAACAAAAGATAAATGAACAAATACTGAAAAACCAATATAGATTTTCTGTATGGCCAATGCAAAGGAATAATCGCTTCAGATAGCACATTGATTTGTGAATAGTCTACCGATTCCATGAAGAAATAATTATTAGACGATCAACTGAAGAACAGTGTGTAAGAGAAATAAAAAGAAAATATAACATTGAAATTCGCTTTCGCCTTAAATTAAACAAGAATAGAACTAACAAAATAAACCACTGAGATTTAAGTAGAAAAAAATTCCTGTTATTGAATTTAATTTTCAGTTGAATGAATGAAAAGTATGCATTATTATCGATCCATCGTGAATTGCGGGCTATATGATTTGAAACACCATCCAATATTGGTCGCATTGCATATGCACAGTATTCACACAGAAATGATAAAAACGCATGGCTCTTTTATGGCTGCTGCAACGATGATGGCAGCGGTGGCGGTAGCGGTGGTGGTGGTGGTGGTGGCTATATGGCGGCGACGGTCACGTCTGGTATATTCCAGTCGGTTTTGAACACAAACCATATGCCAACCGAAACCGAAAAAATTCTGACGAAAAACTTTATCCCAAAATAACAAAACCTAAGCAGACTGAGTCGCATTTGCTGTTGACATATTCAAAATTATATATCAAAATAAATGAACGAACGTAAATCGAAAGCTAAACACAAAATTTAATAAATATTTTACTACTTAAATGCTATAATATTTTTAAAATGTCTGTTTTTTTTATACATGTGTGCGCTCGTGTCCATGAAATGGACATTCTCACTTTGCTTTCGTCATTTTAATTAACCAGCTATTTTTTTCTTCTTCTTCTTGATTTTGCCTTGTTCCGATAAGCTGATAAATGAATGAATGATATCTATGGTATTGTATAGGCATTTATATTATGGCTAATATTGCGTTAATATACCAAAATGGAGCATTTAATAATATAAACGATTTACTTGTACAATGGCATACAATGCATTTGGGTATATGTATGTTTAAAATGAACACTAAACGAGACGAAACTAATGATATAATTGATAAATTGCTGCAACTCATATCTGGGCATATACTATATAGATATGCATACTTGGTTTATATATGTATATAGATTCTCTAAATATTTTAAATGTTATTATATGGTTAAACATCATTAATATTGGCTAGTGTAACATTCTCTCTATGGATATACTGTAGAAATGGCTATTATGTTTATGTATTGTTGTTGTTGTTGTTGTTGTTTTGATTGGGGTGGTAGAAAAGAGTGAAAATAGCTACGTTATCCTAAAAATAATGTTTTCTTTTGCGATTGATCTGATCGATTGAAACAATGTAAAAGCAAACTGAATTATTGAAATTGGCGGTGTATGTGTGTGTGGGATGTGTATATTTCGGTTTGTACGTATTCTCGTTTTTTTTAATTTTATTTATTTATCTTCTTTTTTTTCTATTGAGAGAGCGACAGATAACGAAAACAAAAATGATTGAATAAATAAATAAAGCAATACGAAATCCCAATGAAAAACGTAACAGAAAAAAAAGTTTTGCTATGTTGATGTTTTGCGAAAGCTACTCTGTTGTTATTCCAAGATTAGTGTCCCGCTGCATGTGTGTGTTTGTGCATTTGCGTGTCTGTATAAATTTATATAAATATATGAGTGTGTTGGTGTGTCGGTGTGTGTGGGGCTTTTTTCGTTCTCTCTGCACAAATTCCCCGATGGATTTGTTTGAACGCGCAGACAGATAGATCGGGTTCCATTTGGATTGAGCCATTCCAAATGGTGTACTAACGATGGCTGTGGCTGTGGCTGCTATTATTGACTGCATTTGGGTGGTGTGTCATTTAAATTGCCGTGTCGCACTACGATGGTACACATACCTGTGAACGTATTGAGGCATAGACGAATCAGCCAATCCAGCATTATTGGATGTATCATACGGGCTGGAAAGAAAGAGTAGGAGGATTTGGTTTTTCAACGATTGATTTCTCTTTTTTTTGCAATTTGTGTTTGTGTTTTGTGTGTGTTTGTGTATAATTTTATATATTTTTTTTGTTCATTTGTACCAGATTTGGCTCGGCAAAGTGTTATTTTTTTTTTCGATTCAACAAACAAAACAAGAATAAAATACCATTATAAAATGAAATAGATATACAGAACAAGAGCATTTCGAGTATAATACCAAAAAGAGAAAACATTATTTTTTGTTTAATATAATAAAATAAAACTCAGAAAAAAAACAACAGCTTAATCTCTTACTCAATTTACTAGATTAAATCATACCGTATAAAATTAAAAGAAAGAAGAAAGAAAACCATATCATCAAAACATAAACAAATTACTCTCAAGCCAGTTTTATCTTGAGCCATTTTTACTCTGCAAAATAATCCAATTCTTGCAACTTCACACCAATAAAACGGCCAATGAGAACAAATCGATACGAAATGAAAACGGAGAAATACCAATTTGCATCGTTTTTCAAATAAACGTGACATGACAAATGTGAGACCATTCGCAATTAACAAGAGACACAGAGAAAGAGAATTGCAGAGAACAAGAGAAGAAAGAATAGCAGAGAGATAGAGAAAGAAAACGAACATAGTACGGCATAACAAATATTCATGTATCAATAAAGTAGAATTGAGTGCAATAATGGCGCACATCGATTATTCAAGCCAATTTTCGAACAGCTTTGACGGGCATGTATGCGCGCACGGCACTGCAATTCCCCAATATCCCCGCATCGAACATACGCTCCCTTTCTCTACATGGATACATATATTGATTTGAAGAGCACAAAGAAATCTGACAACCTAATTGCATGTTTGATCTCTACATCTCATACTCGAGAATCCGTTTCAGTTAATACAACGAAACGGAATAATTATATCTTAAACCAACAATACATCAATTTCGTGATTAAACAAAATATAAATCGGATCAATCGTTTTCGATATAAATACGCTGTATTCCAAATGGCGCCGGGTTTTGAATGATTTCACGCTCTCGGAGGACCTACGTACGAATGTGTGCAAAAACCAACCATGACATTTCGGTTTGTAGGTCGGAATTTTCGATTACATTCATAGGCCTTTGAACACCTCAACTGTGGATGAAAAAAAGAATTCTTGGTGGTAATTGGTTGGCGCATTCTTTGAATAATTTCGTACACTTCACTGAGAGAAAGAGAGAGCCGATTTCACAAAATACTCTGTTCAATTATTCACGGCAAAAATTGTGAAGTGAAAATCAATTAAAGGTTGCTCCCTTTTAGACATTTTTGGGTTAACAATATCCGTTTTACGAAAATGTAATAACATCATTTGGTTTTCCCACCGCACAGATTATTTGCATTTATTCCAGAGCTGGGGCATCCATTGCGCTTGCAACATGAGAAACCACCTATTGAGCAGCTCTAACATACTGCACACCTATTGAGTCTAACGAATGTACAACTCCTTGCCGAGACTACTAATATGATGGACAGACGGTATATTTCCTTCTTCTAAATGAGATTTTATTGCTCATTTTCCGAATAAATGCAATTGCACTATGCTTCAATCGAAGTGGAAACATCTGAATTGTTTAAAGCCCAATTTGTGGAAAATTGAAAATAGCCTTATGGTGTGCGCCACTACGTTTAGATGTTATTATTTTATTCATTCTAATTTCAATACAAAGTGATTGATTAAAAAATTAAATTCTTCTGTATTGTCCATTTCATTGAGTAAATAAATACCGTTTAATGCTCAAAGAATCAAACGATGGCGATTTTTTTGTCCGCTCTTTGTTCAGTCCATCTCTGGATTCAGTCCATCCGAAATAATTCATATATTGACAATTTATACACAATGGAATGTAAAAATGTTGTTTGGCTTATCTGTTATATTAATTTCGCTTGTATTTTCAATTGATTTCATTACCCGCTTAAGCATGTTTGCAATTTTGTCAGGCCGTACATGTAGCAGGTAATCAAGAGAAAACGCGATGCAACCAACACAAACAATATATATATATAAGCCAAATGAAATAACACAAAAAATTTAACTGAGCGAAAACTGTCGAAAAAATAGAATGAACTATATCTTGATACAAGAAATGAAATGAAATGTATTTGCTTTTTTTGGGGAAAAAAAACAAAATAATAAGACTACAAACATAAAAAAAACAGCCGAGTGGATTTAATCCATTAAGGTACTCGTTTTCAGTGTATTCTGTCGCTTTCATCGCGGGATAAAAGCCATTTGCAGTGAGAGACATACAGACAGACATAGGGAGGGAGATAGATAGAAAGAGAAAGGCAATGACGCATTTTTTTGCATGAGCAAACATTCACAATAACACGCGCATGCAGGTGTGTGTGTGTGTGCGTGTGCGTTGTGCAATTGTATTTGATGTTCGGTGTTCGCATGTCAAAATATATTACAGTGACACAGCGGCCACAAACTGCAAATTCGTTTGGTCCGCAATGTGCAAATCAATATTTTATAAGAGTTTTTATTTCAGGTCACACTGTTCGCTCCCTCGCTCCATCACCTTCACTATCTCTCTCTCTCTCTCTCTCTCTCTCTCTCTCTCTCTCTCTCACTATTTCTGCTTTGCGCTCTCTCTCACCGTGATGCTGCCTCCAAATCGAACTGTTCGGCCGTTGCAAGCGCACATATGAACTAATAAAGTGTTGGTGATAAAATGCGATGCATTGCATTCGCGGAATATGGGTGTTTTGTATGGTATGTGCATCGCTTGCAGCCACATTCGCATTCACATATGCTATTAATTATTTAGTTTTCATACTTCAGATTTGATGCGCGGTACTTTTTTTTTGTTCTCGTTCCTCTTTCACGCTCTCTCGCTCCCATTTTCCCTCTGTGTGCCCCGTGTTTCGTTTGCTGATTGAGTTTTACGTTTTATTAGCCAGCTTGTTGACTCCATTACTAATATTGTTTGCATTTTGGTTGCTTTTAATTACTCGGCAGTATGCGCATTTATGTTTGGTAGCATGTTCATGCTATCGACCCAATGTTTATGATATGTGTTGTTTTATAACGCGATTAAATCTCTTTTTTTCTGTTCTCTTTTTTGTGTGTTCTCAATCGTTTTATAGATTGATAAACTGCGCGGGATTGAATCGATAGGCAGCAAGCAATTGGCGTAATCGCATTTTTGAATTCGATGAAACGACCCGACCCATTCATTTTCGGTTTTTGTTTTTGTTGTTGTTGTTGTCGCTTTGTTACCAGTTCAGAATGCGGGAATGGACGAGTGGTTGTTTTTTCTACCGAAAAATGCCATGTTTCAAACGAAACGAGAGAAACAGCCGAAAAAGAAGGAAAACGACCGGAAGTGAATTATCAAAAAGAATTCCAACGAATTTGGCAGAAATGAAGCGAAGAGTGAAAATATTTTAACTTTGATTAATTGATTCAAAAGAGCACAAAACAGCTCCATAAGTATACGCAAGACACTTTTCGTCTTACTCTCTTATATCAGCTTTTTTTTTTCTCATACTCTCACTCGCTCATTCGCATCGGGACATTCATTCGGTTGGGAATGTAAATGTCGAATGTGAGTATGTCCACTGAAGATAATTATAAGCCAGCCAGAGAAAGAGAGAACGGGAAAGGGAGAGAGACAGGACGCCACACCAAGCGAAACAAAATTTGGTACAGCAAAAGTAAGTGAGTGTAGCGCACACAACGGTTGTATTTAAGTAAATTATATTTTCGCTTTGACTGCGTGCGTTCTTTTTCTTTTACTTTTATTGCCCCTTGTATATTGTTTCAGTATCCCTTTCATTATTATCATCATCGCATTTTCCATGAAACTTTTTAATTAAAAGTTCACTTACACACACACACTCTCACTCACTCATACACAGTCAAAAGGCGAGCATTTTTGTACGAAATAAAAGAGACAAAATGAAATAAGAATTCGAACAACAGAAAAGCCGGGTTCGCTGTCGTTTTGCGAGAAAAAAAATTTTGCATTCAAAAAGCGAAAAAAAAATATTGGCCTCTGTTCGACACATAGCGCTCGATATGATACGATGATATTGGAATGGGTAGTTGGTCGGTTGGCTGGTACGCGTTGCAAACAATCAAAAATAGTCGAGCTGAGATTCGGCTCGTCGGCTAATTACAAGATTTACCGTTTATTTTAAACGACCAAAATGATTATGAAAAATTAATTATTCACATATTCTTCGTTTGGGCAGCAGCTCTAAAATTAACTTAAATGGAAAAAGTTTTTCGATTTCATTTCGCCTTTCATACTCACGCTCGGCTTTCTCTCTCTCTCTTTCTCCCGTCGCAATTTAATATATTTGTTAATCAAAGTAGATCATTTGGCACGTAAGTGATTCCACATTGCATGTGCAGGCCAACAACAAAATCAACTGTAGCATTTGCTGAAATGATTTATCTTCCTCACCGGACTCAGTCTCTTATACTCGCTCGCTCTCCTCTATCTCTCTCTCTCTCTCTCTCTCTCTCTCTCTCTCTCTCTCTCTCTCTCTTTGCAAAATTTTTTGACGTTCGTTATTCCTTTTTTCTTTCATTCTCTTTTATTTTCATTCTGTCTCCTTCACTCTCTCTTTCACGATTTCTCGTTGAAGATGTACATTGTACAGATTTAGATCGAGATCGTTGAGACTTGTTTAAATTAAATAATGCCAAAAAAGGGAATCGCTTTTGGATCGACTTAGCAGATAAGTGATGGGAAGTTTTGTACTTGCATTAAAACACTTAGACTAACTTTTGATGACAAAACAACTGATGAACTTGAACGGAAAGATTGGCCCGAACACCATCAACCGCACACAAAACAACTTCGACATTTGATCCACATCCAAGGCACAAAACATGGTGGAAGGCATCGTTAGTGCATCGCAAATGTATCGAACTTATGGTGCATTTTCGCATTCAAACTTTGGCGTGAGTGGTTC